TTTGTTTTTGTTTTATGGATATAATAGCTTATGAGGTCAGCTTTTTTTAAAAATAATTTTTTAAAAAATATTAAATCTAGGGCCGGCCGAGTGGTGCTTTGGTTAAGAGCTGGCCTGGGATGCCAGAGGGCCCGGTTCAGATCCCACATATGAGGGCCAGTGACACTGCCCTCTACAGCTAAGATGCTGAACAACAGCTCAACCTAGAGCTGGGTTGCCATGAGTCGCCGGCAACGGCGTAGGCTGCAGCCCCTGCTGCAGTGGGTTGTCATGGGCTACCGTGTGTAGACAGCAGCCAGCGTGAGCGGCCAGCAGCCGCAGTGAGCGGCCCTCCAGAAGCCGGCAACTGATCTGCCTCGCCTGGGAGGAGTGCAATGATGGTGTCAACTTGGGCCAGTGAAGCAGCATCCTCCACAACTAGACTGAAGAACAAAAAGGACAGCAAGTTGTCTGTTCCCCTTCCCCCAATTCCCCAGCGCTGTTCCCATCCCCCCAATTCCCCAATAAAAATCTTTAAAAAAAAAATTAAATCTATACCTTCTTTTGGTTGCTTTTTAACTAAGTGAACCAGAAAAATGTGCATCAGGAAAACTGTCTATCCTTTGCCCACAATTTTAAAAAATATTCTATTTCGGAAAATTTAAAGGGTATATAAAAAATTTCAAGGGTAAACCCTGTGTACCTGTTACCCAGCTTCAATAAATATCAACATTCTGCCATTTTTGTTTCATCTATATCTCCACCCACTCCTATACATTTTTATAACCAAATTATTAATTAAATAATCTTTTACATCGAATTCATCACGAATTTATTTTTCATTTAGTATATTATCCTGTTAGATTGTGGGGGTTCAGAATGAGCCACCCCAAGATATGCCTCAGTGCTATGCAGATTACTTTGAGGTAAAGGCAATTTTAGGTTCAGGCTCAAGAGAAACTTCTGCCCCTCCCTTTAACTACTATCTATAAGGCAGGACAAACTTCTACTTACTAAATGTCTGTTCTTCTTATTATCCTGCAATGACCCTTTGAGGTCCCCAAGGTGCATTACCTCACTTCTAACTCAGGCTGCCTTATATACCTCAGTACCCCTTCTATCTCAGAACCACTCCTGCATGTGGGGTCTCTTCTCTGACTTTCTCATGTATTTGGGGTTCCCATATATATGTATACATGAAGTTTGGTTATTTTCTCTTGCTAATCTGTCTCATGCCTATTTGATTATTAGAGCAGCCAAAAGAACCTTGGGGGTAGAGGAAGTTTGGTCCTCCCCACAGTATCATATCATGTACTTTTTCCATAACACACCTAACACAGTAGATGACAGTATTAAAAATTATTACAACAACAACAAAAACCTACCATTTATATATCACTTTCTGTGCCAGGTACTGTGCCCATGCTTTACAAAACACTGGCTCATTTAAGATGCAAGTGTCTGCCCTTGAATCTGCAAAGGCTATAGAGATGCTGTTTGTTAAAAAGATTAGTAAAAGAATTCAATATTAAAGCCAATGTGTGGAAACGGACATTTTCAATAAAGAGGAGTATGTATTCACGACCATGTTTCTTAGATACACTAAAATGCCAACACAATTATAGCTGCTGCTGTGGGGAAGCACTATTTCTAATGAAATTTTAATATCTATTCTCTGAGGGACAAATAATAGCCCTTCAGTGATTCAGTACCATAGTCACATCAGCTATAACACCAAGTACAAATAAGATGCTGCTATAAGAACTGAAATATTTTTTCTGTACATGATTCTAAAATTCAGGAATAAATGAAGAGTTTTAGCAAATTAAGAGCCAAAATATCTTGTGTATGCCCATAGAAAGTAGAAAATGTATTTTGCTGACTGAAGAGTATACTCAATCGGTGCCTGACAATTGTTTCTCTCACTTATCCTCATTCAGCTTTGTGAAATTTCCCGAGCTCTGCCATCATTCACTGCAGGGATAGGCATTTGAATTCGTGTGCTGTTGTATGATAGTTTTTTGACCATGGGACAGTTAGTTTTGCTAAACCTGTTTACTCACTTATAAAATTAGGGAAACAACCCCTCCTTCTTATGGTATTTATGAAGATTAAGAAACAAATTACAGGACCGGCTCAGTGGCTCAGTTGGTTAGGAGTTGGCTTAAGAGCGTGAGCTCTGAGCAACAGGGCCACTGGTTGGATTCCCACGTGGGCCAGTGACGCTGCGCCTGAGCCGAGTTGTCACGGAGCTGCCAACAGGTGGCAGGATGGCTCAGCTGGTGTAACAAGATTGCCTGTTAGGTGATGGGCTAGGCCCACCTGCAACTAAGACTGAACTTGGCACCTTGAGCTGAGCTGCCACCTGGATGGCTCAGTAGATAGAGCATGTGCTCTTAACAACAAGGCTGCTGGTTCGACTCCTGCAATGGGATGGTGGCTACGTCCACCTGCAACTAAGATTGAACACAGCACCTTGAGCTTAGAAGCCACGAGCTGCCAACGGCAAGCCAGATGGCGACTGGCGCCCTCCACAACGAAGATTGAAGAACAACAACTTGGCTGGTCCCCTTCCTCAATTTCCCAACACTGTTCCCCTCCCCGAATTTCCCAACAAAACCTTAAAAAAAAGGAAAGAAAGAAAGAAATTACACTAAGCAAGTAGTATAGGGCCTAGGGCTTTAGTATGTATAAATGATCATTATTATGTTTACTGTGGGATTCTTAGGTATCCTCTATAGGTAGTGCAGACAGAATTAACATATAATAATATAGGCTATCGAGCTAAATTTGAATGTCCAATAGACAAGAATAATTTTTTAGTCTAAGTGTGTCCCAAGTATTACACAGACTATACTTACACTAAAAATTTTTGTTAAATTCCACTGTCTATCTGAAATTTGAATTTAACTGGGGATCCTGTATTTTATCTTTCAAAATAAGTTCTCTTTTAAAAGGGAGTCTTAGGTATAACAAAATAAACGTGCAGGGAATAAAGCTGTGATTAAATTTGATATCAATCTGCTCTTACTTGGTAGTCTACTATCCCCCAATACACTCAGTATTTTCTCTTCCAGGTAATGTTCAAGTATCACATATCAGAAACAAATAGTTCCCGTGTTTTGGAGTAGAACATAAAATTTTCTCCAAACTGAAATCTGTTGGATCTAGGCATGGGTTTTGAAACTCCTGAATTCTATTTGTATTTAAATCTTAATTTGGAAAAATCACACAGCACTAAATATGAAAGTTATATTAATCACCACTAAAAATATACAAACTAAAAATCTCTGACAGTATTCAATATCTTTGAAACATTATTTCATAATGTTCCTGTTTACCATGTTTTTCTTTGTGTGTGCCAAGTAATTATTTCTCAAAATGTGCTTGTTATTACCATACACACACACAAAATAAAGCAGATGAATTTTACATTTTATTCCAGACTCTAGATCCTCCCTCATACCAAACTAAAACGTCTATTATCAACTCTACCAATATTTTAGCTTTCCTCTATTTATAGCTGTATTTTTAATGAGATAAAGTTAACTACTTCCATTCCGAAATTGTTTCAACCTTGCTTGTGAACTAAAGAAACATATTCTAGTATGGTTGCAGGGTGTTTTGCTATTTCTAATACTCATTTCATGTCAGTTTTTACAAAATGCTTCCACAAATCTTTTGATGTCACTGGCTCAAAGAAGTAATGGGATTTTGGTTATTCCCAAAGTCATAATTATAAATTTAGCTTTCCTACGTGCGGGGGAGTGGGGGGAGAGAAATCATTTTATAATATTATATTCTCCTATCGCTTTTCCATTTGTGGGAGACGTGATTCCTGATTCCTTGCTTTAATAAGCAAAGGGAGGTAATGGGAAAACCAGGATTTCGTTATCCATTTAATCCTCTAAAGCATTTGCAGGCTGTGTTTAAACTTCCAGATAGATTATAATGCATCAGTCCACACAATAAGATGTGTGCTACATTTCTTCATTCATAATTTTGTATTGGCTAGTAAAACAGAGGCAGTGCTCCATTTCTTTTTTCCAACCACCTCACCTTCTGACCAAACTACTCAAGTCTTGTCATCGCGTCGTCGCAGTCGCAGAGCACGGTACTCTTCAGCTCCATCTCGTGTAGGAAAATGTCGACTGCACCCTCAGCTCCGACCAAGGGGAGCATTCACTACAGTAGAAAAGATGAAAAGCCCGGAACATTATTTAGGCATCAACACTAAACGAAGAGTTGATGTCCTGTGGATTACGAGCAGAGGGTCTTTTTCGTTGACAGAAACCTCGGGAAAGCATGTACTGCATATTGACTTCATTGATCAATTCTGGAGAAAAATTATACTTCATTCAGTTAAGATTGGCATATTTAGAATGAAATTCCCATTGACCCGAGATTCCTGGTTAAATCCGTCAATAGAGCCAAGGACGGACATTTTCTGAGCAACAGCATAAAACACACTCGTCTAACACAGCAGTGTCTTTAAATCACGTCATAGAGCCCAAAGGAGAACGCCCGGAGGCGGTTTGGGAGTCCGTTCGGGGAGAGGGAGTATAAGTCCCCTCCCGGATGAGAACGTCTTGGGCAGAGTGGAGTCGTTTCCGTGCTTTTCTCGTCCCGCGCAGCCGCAGGCAAGGAGCCGAGGGGACACCGGGCCCCTGCTGCCGGCAGCATCTCCCGGAGTCCTTCTCCTGAGAAACCTGCGGATCGGGGACGCCACTTTTTGCTTGTTTTTATAAATTTGCTTCTCTTAAGCCCTGGAGGTTTTTAAAGTTGATCGGTGTAGTTTTTGCTTCCTCCGACCAGGGTGAAGGAAGGCCGAAGCGCCCCCCGGAGCCCCGCCCGGAATCGCAAGGCGGGGCGCACGGATGGGCGGGGCCGTGACCGTAGGCGGGCCCGTGGGCGGGGCGTCCTCACCGCCTGGGGCGGCTCCAGGCCGCGGGCGGGAGGCTGTGGCAGCGGCGGCGGCGCGGGCCAAGCGGCGCGGGGATTGGCTGCGGCGGGAGGAGACGTCAGGATCCCGCGGCCCCAGCTGCAGCCCGGCTCGTCGCGGCGCAGTCGGCTTGAGTGCGCACGGCAGTGAGGAGGGCTCCTGCGCCGCCCCACCTTCAGCCGCTGTCTTCGGGCTGCGCCGCTTGAGCCGGACGCCCCTCCGCACTCCTCGCCGCCTCCATCCCCGCGGCCGCCGCTCCCCTCACCGTTGGCGCGCACACCATGACGAAGAAAGACAAGAAGTCCTTCAACCAAAGCCTGGCCGAGTGGAAGCTCTTCATCTACAACCCGACCACTGGAGCGTTCCTGGGGCGCACCGCCAAGAGCTGGGGTGAGCGGGCGGCGGTTGGGCGCCCGGGGCCGGCCGTGGTCTGGGGGACGCCGGGTGGGATCGGGTGGTAAAGGAAAAGCGGGGGGCGGCTCCCCGGGCGGCGGCCCCAGGAGCCGCCACCGCCTCCACCACCCGCAGCGGTTTTCGCCCGCGGCCTCCAGACTCGAACCCGGGCGGCTGCAGCGGCGGACCGCGGCCCCATTCATTTCTTATAGGGCGGGAGGGCCATCGCTTGCTGCCGAAGCAGCGGGGCCCGCGGGCAGCCCCGGCCCAGCCGTGCCGGTTTTTTTCTCCCCGCCGGGAGGCGCACGTGCTGCCCGGGCCTCCCGCCTCCAGCGGCGCTGGAAGCCGGGGACCCTACTCGGAGCCGAGCCCCGAGTGTGCGGGGGCCGAGCGCCCTGGCCTCCTTTGTATAGAGCGCGGCGGCGGGGAGAGGCCCTGGCGGAGGCGCCGGCGGCGCCGAGTGGTTCGAGGAAGCCAGACCCTGCCCCACGCCCGGGGAGAGGAAATTTCCACTCCCGCCGCTATCTTGTGACTCGTCCACGCTGCCACCCCAACCAGTCGGAAGAGTGCGAGCTGAGTGAGTGTTAAGTGTGTGGGTTGTATGAATGCCGCGGCGAGTTCATCACAAGTACATTGTCAACGAAAATGCGCTTGAATTTGGACAGTGAAAAGACCTTTAAAACTCGGTTTCTTTTTCTAATTCCTTTTTAATTGCACAGATTTTCTTCCTTAGACATTTACTTCTTTGGGAGAAAGTAAATCCTGTCTGAATGGCACAATGTTCTGTGCCTTCAAAACGTAGTGATGGTTGCATGTTAGTTTTTCTACATGAGTTCTTTGTTTTAAAAAATGTTTAAACCATTCCCCAGTGTAGTGTTGCTTTAGGGTGCCCCCCCATTTTTTTTGAAAAATTATATTGATGTATGAATAAGAACTAGTGCTCACTCTCGTTTCTCTTTTTTACCTTTATACTTAAGTAAACTAATTTTACTTTTCTTTTTCTTTTTGTGGCCTTTTGAAAAATATTTTGTTTGTGGTTCTTGACAGACCTCTTTTTATCTGAGTGAGAATAAGTTTCTAGAGTTGAGAACTATTTGGGCACATCTTTAAGAGAAGCATGACGAGTAAATTAGCGATGACTTAGAAAATTGGCTCCTCCAGAGTGGATGGAAAGGTGGCTTACGTCCTATCACAAGCTGAAAGGGGCTTTGGAGGTTTTTTTAGCGCAACCCTCACTTTAGAGAAGAAAAAAAAAATGATCTGGAGAGGTTGTGATTTTGCTTTGCTTAAAATTACATATTTCACAGAGCCAAGAAAAGAACCAGTTCTTTTTTAATCCTAGTCCGGCAGTTGTATTATTTTACAGATGCCTTGCCTAAATGGTAATTTAGGCATGGTAATCACTCATGATTTTTATTTAAATGGCTCTCTTTGGGGAACCCACTAGTGTGATGAGGAAATACATCTTGCATCCGGAGTTAAATGGAGGGGCGGGGGAAATGGTGAACAATTATTATTGTTTCTAGGGTGTACTAACTTGATCTGAAGGAGTTTTTGAGTGGTGGAGAAATTAATTTCTGTAGACTAGCTTCCTTTTTTCTTTTCTCAGTGGCTTTTCATTTCCAGTAATTAGTATCTTCACTTTGTGTTAGAATGACATTTCTTACTACAGGCAATGCTCCCTATCTAACCTTTGTATTATATGATATTGGGGTAGAGATTTTATTTGGTATATGCATTTAAATAGATTACATGTGCACAAATTATCAAAGGATAAGGCATTCTATAAGGGCAGAAGTGTAATACAAGTAAAGTGGGATTAATTTTAAGGATTAAGGCAAGACCTTTTATCAAAATAAAAAATAAAGTATTACTCTTATCAACAAATAGTAAACTTCTGTGTTTATTGTAATAGTAAGCCAATGCAGAATGGCATAAAGAGGCAAAAATTATCCATATTATCCAATTATCCCAACCTAAGGGCATCCTTCCAAAGGTATGTGGGGAAGTGGTGTATGGAGGCTGAAATGGTATCTGGTTCTAATTCTCAGAAAAGCACTGTATGGGCTAGCTGCCTGATCTGATCACCCCAAAGATTCCCATTGTTAGTATAGTGGAGCAGACTTAAGGAATGTGTATAACATTATTTTTCTTTTTTACAAAAAGAGATCATACAGTAGGTGCTTCATAATCTTTTCAGTATATTGTGGTCATCTTCCCATGTTAAGATCTGTATCACCATTTTTAATAGCTGACTAGTGGTCCATTGTATAGTTAGATGTACTTTTGATTTTTTTTTAATAAACAAATTTATTAACATATATACCTCATGTATGCATGGGAGATACCCAGGGAAAAATGAGTAACCTCTGATTTTTTTCTTTTTTTAATTATTGAATGGCCTGGTCCCTCCTTCCCCCATTCCCTTCACCTTTGTATGTACATTTTTACAAATTTATTCTCGAGATATGTTTCTACTATTGGTATTTCTAGGTCAAATATAATGTATGTAACTGTTTTGAAAACATGTTAAGCTTTTCTTAAGAAAAAAACTCATTTGTGCAATTTTTTTTCTAGTTGCTTTTGAATTTAATTTAAGTGGTAATGGGGGTGGTTACATCTTTTTTTTTTATCTTGGTGAAGTTGCTGGGTCTGCAGGTGTGTAGAGAAAGGCATTCTCTACCTCAGGGATTTTATAAAGATATTCATTTAAGATGTTCCCTGATTTTATTTTTTATATTCAAGTCTTTAGTACATTTGTCCCATATAATCTGAAGTTCCTCTCCAAATTCATTTGTTATTTTAAAAGCACATGTATTTAAGAAGCAATTTTGCCATTTCCATTTGGCATAAAGTGAAAATGGTGCATGTTACATCACATTGCCTTCTTTAAAACAGCTACATATAAAGATTTTGAGTAACCGCTTAAATATTTGACTAATATTTTACACTTGGTTACAGCAGTTTAAAATGCTTAAATAACATAATCACCTCATTTGATTTTCACACCAACCTTCTAAAGCCCACTATGTAGGTGATCAAAGTGTATCTAGAGCTTGTTTTTGAAATTGAACAGTAAGGACACATCAGGAATAAATAGTTGCCATTTATAAAAGCAAAGGACAAAGAAAATTTAGCACTTTGTGGCTGATATTACAAACATTAAGCCTAAATGCATTAAATACAATTGTAGTGAAAGATAGCTTAGAGATTATCAACTGTTATTTAAACTGTAGGTAGACCATGTGTTTCAATTAACATTTTTTTTCAATAATGAAAAATAGAATAGTAAAAAATATCAAATATAATATAATAAGTTTATTCTGTGGAAAAATGTTTTATGTAACATTTCTGTATATTTTATACTTAGATAACCCCAATGTAAAGTGTAAATGCTCTGCTTTGGAGACCAGACACTAGGTATATCCTATCCAATGGGTATCTGGCTGTAGGGGAGAAGGCAAGTGTGTTTATTTCCCCAGTATCACATGGTTTTCTGAGGTATTGTTCTTTGTCCTGTGGAGTGTGACATACTAAACTTGACAAAAACATTACCGTTGGGAACGTAATAGGACTTGCCTGTGTGCAGGCTGTATGCGAAGGTCAGTGGTGGGTGTGGCAGAGGCATGCTGAGCGGTCACCTAGCAGGAGCAGCACTTCCTAGTGGGGTAGTGGCGGTGGGGGGGGAGTGCATGTGTTGTGTTCCAGACACCATTGTAATTACCACAGTATGTGGGTTCCTGTGGTTAAAGAGCCACCTACCCCACCCCCCCAAATCATTTGATTTCTTTGAAATTGAATTTTGAGTTTATATAAATTAGCTGTATCAAAAGAATTATAAAAACCCTCCTATCTTTAGTAACAGCTTTTCTATGATTTATCATTTTGTTTGATTAAGGACCAGTCATTTAACAGTGTAATAGAAGGAGGAAAAATCCATTTAACTTTGAAAGATAAATTTATTATTTTCTAATTAATGCATTTATGTTGATTTTGAAGTAAAATCACCTGTAATCTTTAACCACTTAGAATAACCACTGTTATTCTAATGGGTAAATAAAATTTTTTTATTTCCTATGGGTAAATAAAAAATTATTTTTATTTCCTATGGGTAAATAAAAATTTTTAAATGTATAGATAAAAAATTTAAATATACAGTTAGATACCTAGTTTTATCACTGATGTTTAAAGGGGGTGTTTTTTTATTCCTCTGCCACCTTCTTAGAGGTTGATGCATTGGGAGTGTCCTTGGCCCTGTCCGTCATCTCTGTGGGAACTGTCCACACTTCCTGCCAGAGCTTACTTATTCTGGTGGCTTTAGTGTTAGAACTCCCAAATCTGCATTTCTAGTCACATGGCTTTTTTATATTATAACCAGCTGTATGTCAGAAATCTTCAGTTGGCTGTTTCATGGATACCTCTTCATGTAAATCTCCATTGTCCCGTGGGCTCCTTAGCATGAAATACAAATTCTTTATAATCTCACTAGTTTATTCCTCTCCTGTTGTCTCTCTCTACCATTCCACATATTTCTCTCCTACTCCTTCTGGGCCTTTTTCCTAGCTTCTGAGCCTCTCTTTCCTTCACCTGGCATGGTTACTCAGGTGTCAGCTTTGATGGCCTGATCTCTGGTAAACATTTTTTGAACCTCTCTTTGCCTTAAGACTGGGTCAAGTGCTCCTATGTATCCCATAATACTATTTTCTGTTATATCGTTTTTTACTTTATTTAGTATTATTGTTGCCCATTTATTGGACTGTAAGCTTGTTATTTATATCTTATTCATCTTTGATTTCCTAACACCTAGCCTGTTGGCTGGCACTTAGTAGTAATAAAAATCATTGAATGAATGAGCACTATTATGAAATGTTCCATGTAATTAGTCTTCTGTAACGTTTTAAATGTCTGATAGTATTGGTGTATCATAGTATAATGGTTCCCCTAAGGTTTGGACCTTCCCCACCACCCCTCCTCTTTTTTTTTTCTACAGCATTGTT